CACTTGGGTGTTGGTCCTGATTACTGGGTGCATACCCAACAGTATAATATAAATATAATAGATCCACAGGCTTTTCAGAAGAGAATGATTTTAATATAAAATGAATAAAAGAGACTGTTGGAAAAGAAAAGCCTTGAGTATTTTTCAGAATTATGATTGCCAGCCTGGACAACATGGTGAAACCCCATCTCTACCAGAAATACAAAAATTAGCCAGTCGTGGTGGTGTGCACCTGTGATCCCAGCTGCTAGGGAGGCTGAGATGGGAGGATTGCTTGAGCCTGGGAGGCAGAGGTTGCAGTGAGCCGAGATCGTGCCACTGCACTCTGGCCTGAGTGACAGAGTGAGACCCTGTCTCAAAAAAAAGAAAATTATTATGATTGAATTGCAAAGATAAACCTAAGATGAAGGACATTGTAGTATGGTATCATAAAATTCTGTCAGAAAAATTTTGCTTTCAGCCAAAAGAAAAAAACCAACATTTGATTATTTTTGTGTCTTGCAGTTTGTGACATGAGTTTTTCTGTAACTGTAAGAAAATAAATTTATTATCATACTTTTTGTTTCCAGCATTCCCGTCTAATCAATTATTTCTTTCACTGTTTACATTGAAATGATCATCTCAGTTTTAAAATTGATTTACTTTATGGCTTTTTCCTAAGACTGACTTTTCACATCTAGATTTTAATATTGCATGGTTAGTAATAATCATGTTTTGGGGATATCCTTCTTAGTAAAATTTCATGGCTAGATGTGGTGGCTCATGCCTGTTATCCCAGCACTTTGGGAAGCTGAGGTGGGTGGATCACGAGGTCAGGAGTTCAGGACCAGCCTGGCCAACACGGTGAAACCCTGTCTCTACTGAAGATACAAAAAATAGCCACGCGTGGTGGCACTCTCCTGTAATCCCAGCTACTCGGGATGCTGAGGCAGGAGAATTGCTTGAACCCAGGAGGTGGAGGTTGCAGTGAGCCAAGATTGCACCATTGCATGCCAGCCTGGGTGACAGGGAGACATCGTCAAAAAAAAAAAAAAAAAAAATACATTAGGGAAGCTTCTTTTTAGAGGAATTATGAAGGCCTACTATTATTATTACTTATATAATTAAATCCCTTAATGTTTGATGATACGAGACAAATTTTGCTTGTACCCAGTTCTTAAAACTTACCTTCTAAGTAATTATTTTTATGGCAAACATATTTAAAATAAAATTGTTTATTTTCATTTAAAAGTGGATACCAATGCTTCAGAATGGACGGTTGAAGACTGGCCAGTTTTGCTTACCAGTCTCATTGGAAAAACCACCACAGGCTTATTCTGTACTGTCTCCTGAGGTCAGTATCTCCTATGTTGACATTCTCCAGATTGAATGAAATGGGTTTTTTACTATAAAGATGTTTTTACCAAACAAACTCTTGCCATTTCTTCTACTTTAAAGTTTATAGATGAAGAAGGAAAAGCATTTTCCCCAGTGATTAAAATTCTTTTACATAAAATAGAAGGTTTTATTCTGTCTTTTTAAAAAAGTATATTCATTTTAAAACCAAAATAATACATGAAATGTAAACTTAAAAGGTGAATTTGGAGAATTTTCATACTGTAACATGAGAAACTTCTTTAAATAAATGAATATATATGTATTTTTAAAGTAGACGACATTTCACTAAAAGACTGGAAGAAGAAAAACAGATTTAAATTAATTTTTAAGAATCTTTTTGTAATTGATGATTATGTGAATGAAAACAAAGTAGCTGTGAACCTGTCATACAAGAGGTATTGGCAACTTCGATGATTACATATGTGATTTGAAAGGCTTGTAACACAAACATTGGGAAAAATCTCAATCAAGAATCAATGCCCACTGTTCATAAAACCAAAGTTCCTCTTGAGAGCATTATTACGCAGTGGTAGTCAATGTCTCTTAATGATTTTGAATATAACTGCTGGTAAATGTTACTCTAAAATATGTCTTGTGAATATTTTCTTAGTGCCATTTGCTTTCAGAATACAATTCAAAATGTATTCACAAATAAATTTGTGTTTATTTTTTAAAAGCAATTCAAGGCTATTGCTCTTATCTCATTTCTCACTGTTCTTTCACTCACTCTGCCCTAGCCACATAGCATAGAGCCTCTGCTGTTCCTCACACATGAAAAGTGCATTTCCATCTCAGGCCCTTTGCTCTTCCCTCTGCTGGCAGTGCTCTGTCACAAACCCTGCTTCTTCATTTTACTCAGACCTCCGCTCAAATACCACCTCGCCAAGGAAGTTGCCTGATTATTCTAAGTAGCAGCCTCTCCCACTTTATATCTTTATCTTTCTTCATACCAATTATCATTGACTTTATATTTAAATTTTTTTTGTTTATTTATTCTCTATAGAGTGTAAACGCTTTGATGATAGAGACTTTGTCTTACTCATTGCTGTCTACAAGTATTTAGAACAGCACTTGGCACATCATAGACACTCAATATATACGTATTAGATTAATGGATAAAGACACTAGAGTAAGAAATATGACTCTTCCCTCCTCCCAATCTTTTATTCATTTTTCCAGTGACACATCTTTTCAGTGATGACTTTTTCGTGTGACTTTGTTATACAGAAAGATGGCCTTCTGTCAGAGAGCATTATGTTTCAAAGGAGATGTTTCAAAAGAACATATATTTTTGTTGAAGTTAAGGATTTGTTTTTACTTAATTGCGGTGCAAGTTTAGCTTTCTAAAGGGAGACTAATGATTTTCTTCTAGCTACCATACTATATATGCTCATAGATCAAAAATGTGGTGATAATTTGGATTTCACTATAGACGTATAATACAGCCGCCTGTTATGCGAAATGTGAAATAAGCCATCTGATTAAGAGCTAAAACTTTGTAAACAGGTGACCCTTAAACAACATGGCAGTAAGGAGTACCATTCCTCCTCCCTAGCATGCACTTGAAAATCCACATAACTTTTGTCTCCCTAAAAACTTAACTACTAATATAATAGCTTGCTGCTGACTGAAAGCCTTACCAGTAACATAAACAGTTAATTAAACATGTATTTTTCATGTTAAATGTACTATATACTGTATTCTTAAAGTGATATAGAGAAAAGAAAATGTTCTCAAGAACATCATAAGGCACAGAAAATATATTTACTATCACTAAGTAGAAGTGGATCATCATAAAGGTCTTCATCCTCATTGTCTTCATGTGGGATAGGTTGTGGAGGAGGGAGAGGAGGGATTGGTCTTGCTATCTTAGAGGTGGCAGAGGTGGAAGGGGAAGCAGGCACACATGGTGTAACTTTGCAGAAATACATCATAATTTCTGTCTGACATTTTTGCTTATTCATTTCTCTAAAAATGTTTCTAGAGCCTGGTGCAGTGGCACACCTATAATCCCAGCTTCTCGAGTAGATCACTTGAGCTCAGGAATTCAGGGCTGTACTTTGCTGTGATCGTGCCTTTGAATAGGCAGTGCCCTCAAGCCTAGGCAACATAGCAAGACCCCATCTCTTTAAAAAAAAAAAAAGTGTTTCTGGCGGGGTGTGGTAGCTCATGCCTGTAATCCCAGCACTTTGGGAGGTTGAGGCACACGGATCACCTGAGGTCAGGAGTTCGAGAACAGCCTAGCTAACATAGCAAAAACCCATCTCTGCTAAAAATACAAAAAATTAGCCATGCTTGATGGTGGGCGCCTCTAATCCCAACTACTCAAGAGGCTGAGGCACAAGAATTGCTTGAACCTGGGAGGCAGAAGTTGCAGTGAGCTGAGATCATGCCACTGCACTCCAGCCTGGGCGACAGAGTGAGACTCCATGTCAACTGAAAAAAACAAAAGTTTCTCTGTGGTGCCAATCTTTCCATTATTTGTTTTAGTTTCAGTGCCCTTAGCATAGATGGGTCTATGTTTTAAAAGAAGTCAAAAGCAGTCTTGAATAACACTTTTTCCAGGTTGTGTTATGTCACTTTGTTTTCTGTCACTGTTTCTTCTATGTTTTCTGCCTCAGTGTCTGGCACTGGTTTGGAAACAGTCATCTCCATCGAGTCATCTTCTATTAATTCATGGTCTGGCGTCTATGAACTTGTGAATTTCTCCTTGGATATCTTTACCTTTCACCTTTTTTTTTTTTTTCCCTTTTTGCCGTATCCACAGTTTATTACATGATTTTCTTGATGGGCTCTGTCACAAAGTTTGTGAAATCATGACAGCCTCTGGACACAGTTTTCTTCAGCAAGAATTTATTGTTTCGGGCTTGATGGCTTAAATATATATATATATATATATATATATATATATATATTATTGCACTTTAGGTTCTGGGGTACATTTGCAGAACATGCAGGATTGTTGCATACGTACATAGATGGCAATGTGGTTTGCTGCCTCCATCCCCTCGTCACCTATATCTGGCATTTCTCCCCATGTTATCCCTCCCCAACTTTCCTACCCCCACTGTCCCTCCTCTATTCCACCCCAACAGACCCTAGCGGGTGATGCTCCCCTCCCTGTGTCCATGTGTTCTTATTGCTCAACACCTGTCTATGAGTCAGGACATGCGCTGTTTGATTTTCTGTTCTTGTGTCAGTTTGCTGAGAATTATGGTTTCCATATTTATCCATGTACCTACAAAGGACACAAACTCATTGTTTTTTATGGCTGCATAGTATTCCATGGTGCATATGTGCCACATTTTCCTTGTCCAGTCTATCATCGATGGGCATTTGGGTTGGTTCCAGGTCTTTGCTATTGTAAAAAGTACTGCAATGAACATATATGTGCATGGTGTCTTTATAATAGAACAATGTATAATCCTTTGGATATATCCTTAGTAATGGGATTGCTGGGTCAAATGGAATTTCTATTTCTAGGTCCTTGAGGAATCGCCACGCTATCTTCCACAATGGTTAAACTAATTTATACTCCCACCAGCAGTGTAAAAGTGTTCCTATTTCTCCCCATCCTCTCCAGCATCTGTTGTCTCCAGATTTTTTAACGATCGCCATTCTAACTGGTGTGAGATGGTATCTCAATGTGGTTTTGATTTGCATTTCTCTAATGACCAGTGATGATGAGCATTTTTTCATATGTTTGTTGGCCTCATATATGTCTTCTTTTGAAAAGTGTCTGTTCATGTCCTTTGCCCACTTTTGAATGGGGTTGTTTTTTTCTTGTAAATCTGTTTTAGTTCTTTGTAGCTTCTAGATATTAGCCCTTTGTGAGATGGGTAGATTGCAAAAATATTTTCCCATTCTGTTGGTTGCCGGTTCACTCTAATGATTGTTTCTTTTACTGTACAGAAGCTCTGGAGTTTAATTAGATCCTGTTTGTCTATTTTGGCTTTTGTTGCCAATGCTTTGGTGTTGTAGTCATGAAGTCCTTGCCTATGTCTATGTCCTAAATAGTTTTGCCTAGGTTTTCTTCTAGGGTTTTTATGGTGTTAGGTCTTATGTTTAAGTCTTTAATCCATCTGGAGTTAATTTTAGTGTAAGGTGTCAGGAAGGGGTCCAGTTTCTGCTTTCTGCACATGGCTAGCCAGTTTTCCCAACACCATTTATTAAACAGGGAATCCTTTCCCCATTGCTTGTTTTTGTGAGGTTTGTCAAAGATCAGATGGATGTAGATGTGTGGCATTGCCTCTGAGGCCTCTGTTCTATTCCATTGGTCTATATCTCTGTTTTGGTACCGGTACCATGCTGTTTTGATTACTGTAGCCTTGTAGTATAGCTTGAAGTCAGGTAGCGTAATGCCTCCTGCTTTGTTCTTTTTGCTTAGAATTGACTTGGCTATGCGAGCTCTCTTTTTGTTCCATCTGAAGTTTAAGGTGATTTTTTCTAGTTCTGTGAAGAGGGTCATAGGTAGCTTGGTGGGGATAGCATTGAATCCATAAATTACTTTGGGCAGCATGGCCTTTTCACAATATTGATTCTTTCTAACCATGAGCACAGAATGTTTTTCCATCTGTTTATGTCCTCTCTTATTTTCTTGATCAGTGGTTTGTAGTTCTCCTTTAAGAGATCCTTTACAATCTTTGTTAGTTAGTTAGTATTCCTAGGTGTTTTATTCTCTTTGTAGCAATTGTGAATGGCAGTTCGTTCTTGATTTGGCTCTCTTTAAGTCTGTTATTGGTGTATAAGAATGCTTGTGATTTCTGCACATTGATTTTGTATCCTGAGACTTTGCTGAAATTGCTTATCAGCTTCAGGAGATTTTGGGCTGAGACAGTGGGGTCTTCTAAATATACAATCATGTCATCTGCAAATAGAGACAGTTTGACTTCCTCCTTTCCTGATCGAATACCCTTTATTTCCTTTTCTTGCCTGATTGCTCTGGCTAGACTTCCA